GTGTGGGGGGGGTCGTCGATAAGGGACCACGCCAAATTAATAACACCACAGTCGCTGAGTGTGTGTGTGTGGGGGGGGGGTGTCGTCGATAACAGACCACGCCGAATTAATAACACCACAGTCGCTGAGTGTGTGTGTGTGTGGGGGGGGGGGTGTCGTCGATAAGGGACCACGCCGAATTAATAACACCACAGTCGCTGAGTGTGTGTGTGTGGGGGGGGGGTGTCGTCGATAAGGGACCACGCCGAATTAATAACACCACAGTCGCTGTGAGTGTGTGGTTGGGGGGGGGGGGGGTCATCGATAAGGGACCACGCCGAATTAATAACACCACAGTCGCTGAGTGTGTGTGTGTGTTGGGGGGGTGTCGTCGATAAGGGACCACGCCGAATTAATAACACCACAGTCGCTGAGTGTGTGTGTGTGTGAGGGGGGGGGGTGTCGTCGATAAGGGACCACGCCGAATTAATAACACCACAGTCGCTGAGTGTGTGTGTGTGTGGGGGGGGGGGGGTGTCGTCGATAAGGGACCACGCCGAATTAATAACACCACAGTCGCTGAGTGTGTGTGTGTGTGTGTGGGGGGGGGTGTCGTCGATAAGGGACCACGCCGAATTAATAACACCACAGTCGCTGAGTGTGTGTGTGGGGGGGGGTGTGTCTTCGATAAGGGACCACGCCGAATTAATAACACCACAGTAGCTGTGTGTATGTGTGTGGGGGGTGATGGTGTCGTCGATAAGGGACCACGCCGAATTAATAACACCACAGTCACTGAGTGTGTGTGTGGGGGTGGTGTCGTCGATAAGGGACCACGACGAATTAATAACACCACAGTCGCTGAGTGTGTGTGTGGGGGGGGGGGTGTCGTCGATAAGGGACCACGCCGAATTAATAACACCACAGTCGCTGAGTGTGTGTTGTGGGGGGGGGGGGGGGTGTCGTCGATAAGGGACCACGCCGAATTAATAACACCACAGTCGCTGAGTGTGTGTGTGTGTGTGGGGGGGGGGGGTGTCGTCGATAAGGGACCACGCCGAATTAATAACACCACAGTCGCTGAGTGTGTGTGTGTGTGTGGGGGTGTCGTCGATAAGGGACCACGCCGAATTAATAACACCACAGTCGCTGAGTGTGTGTGTGTGGGGGGGGGGGTGTCGTCGATAAGGGACCACGCCGAATTAATAACACCACAGTCGCTGAGTGTGTGTGTGTGTGGGGGGGGTCGTCGATAAGGGACCACGCCGAATTAATAACACCACAGTCGCTGAGTGTGTGTGTGTGTGGGGGGGGGGGGGTGTCGTCGATAAGGGACCACGCCGAATTAATAACACCACAGTCGCTGAGTGTGTGTGTGTGGGGGGGGGGGGGGTGTCGTCGATAAGGGACCACGCCGAATTAATAACACCACAGTCGCTGAGTGTGTGTGTGTGGGGGGGGGGGTGTCGTCGATAAGGGACCACGCCGAATTAATAACACCACAGTCGCTGAGTGTGTGTGTGGGGGGGGGGGGTGTCGTCGATAAGGGACCACGCCGAATTAATAACACCACAGTCGCTGAGTGTGTTTGTGTGTTGGGGGGTGTCGTCGATAAGGGACCACGCCGAATTAATAACACCACAGTCGCTGAGTGTGTGTTTGTGTGGGGGGGGGTGTCGTCGATAAGGGACCACGCCGAATTAATAACACCACAGTCGCTGAGTGTGTGTGTGTGGGGGGGGGGGGGTGTCGTCGATAAGGGACCACGCCGAATTAATAACACTACAGTCGCTGAGTGTGTGTGTGTGTGTGTGGGGGTGTCGTCGATAAGGGACCACGCCGAATTAATAACACCACAGTCGCTGAGTGTGTGTGTGGGGGGTGTCGTCGATAAGGGACCACGCCGAATTAATAACACCACAGTCGCTGAGTGTGTGTGTGGGGGGGGGGGGGTGTCGTCGATAAGGGACCACGCCGAATTAATAACACCACAGTCGCTTAGTGTGTGTGTGGGGGGGGGGGGGTGTCGTCGATAAGGGACCACGCCGAATTAATAACACCACAGTCGCTGAGTTTGTGTGTGGGGGGGGGGGTGTCGTCGATAAGGGACCACGCCGAATTAATAACACCACAGTAGCTGTGTGTGTGGGGGGGGGGGGTCGTCGATAAGGGACCACGCCGAATTAATAAGACCACAGACATTGCCGCAGTTTTGTTAAGCAATGCAATGAATCAGCCTGTAAAATTTGAATGTGAGTCACGACACTCAGCACTCGTACATTTTCACGCATCGCTAAAAGCATCAACTGAGTTGGAAACTCCCCCCCCCCCTCTGCACCACCACCACCTAGAAACCTGCATCTGCCTTCTGTCTCCCTTATATGTACGACTGCAACAATGCGGACGGTTACGCCAATTCCGTATAAAATTTCTTTAACAATCGATGGTGATAATGGAGAGTTTGATATCTGTGATGGGATTTTTAAATCTAATTATTTGCATATTATGATGATGTTATGAAACAAATTGTAAATATGGCTTTTGGCCAGCTAACATATATCTCAAGAAGCTCATTAATAATTTTGTAAAATTAAAAGCATAAACAAGAAATCAAATCTAAATAAATTATGATACAATAATTGTATCATAATTTATCAAGATTTGATTATTTTAAAAAAATTGTGCTTGGTTAGTGGCCACAAGGTCGGATGTCCCGTTAAGCGTTTACTGAAGGTGTAACTCCCCCCCCCCCGCCCCCCAACAATTTTGCATTTTCGGTGGGCTGTCACTACTCACTTCCTAATTTTTTCAGTATTTTAACTGGATGAAGTATAGTTTTGACGGTACATTTTACATTGTTTGTCATAGGGTCACGGCGAAATGACGTCACCCGATGTGGACAACACCTTTGCCTTGTGACGGTGCAGTACATATTATTACAGTACAGTATAAATACACCATCAGGACGTATAACATACACAAATTTACATTATTTAAAACTTCTCACTCGTAAGTAGCAATCAATGTATCTTCCAGCCATCATTTTGGGAGGGAGGGGGGGGGGTGAGGATGTATCCCTCCATCCCCCGAAGAGAGACTACCCCTCCCTCCACCCCCTAAACAAAATGGAATTTTAGTCTTCCATCCGCCCCCCCCCCCCCCCCCCAAAAAAAAATTTCAAGTGCCAACCTTCTCCCGAGAAAATAGTCTGGAAAAACACTGGTAGCAATAAATTTCTCATGTTTAACTCAGTTGTAGCCGGCTGACGAAAGGACCCATTGATAATTTTTGCACAAGGGCTAGAAAATCCTAGCTACGCCACTGAGTGTAAGGGACTTACTTTAATTGGCAAACTTATAAATGCAGATTTATCAAAATTTCTGCGTTCTATGCGTAATCGAGTCGGAAAAACTTGGTTTTGCTATTCTGTCTGTATGTCTGTGCGTGGATGTATGTGTGTATGTATATGTGTGACTTTGAACACGTTGATCGGAAGTATTACTTTACCCTAAATCCAATTTCTCAAAAAAAAAAACAAAAAAAAAACGCATATGAATTTTTAAAATACTAGTGTTCCAAGATATCCAAGGTCCGTGTTTGCGCTACTTAGAAACTGACTTGACTAAAATTTATGTAAGTAGGTCGCGAACGCGGGATGTTAAGACGCTTAGGCAGGGATGGGAGTGTAAGAGCCGATCAGGGGCGTATCAACCATTTAACCAACGCGGGCAAAATCCACCATTTTCCAAGTGTGGTCTGTTTTGAGTAACGCTTTAAGTTTTTCTCTAATGGAAACTAGAGGGTTGTTTGGCTTTTCACCAGATCTAAAGAGACCATATTGTTGATTCTCTGCAGATAAAAAGAGCTATAATCTTAAATATTTAAAAACGAATTGCAAACTATTTTGTATTGTTTTTTAAATCTTAACAGGTATATTACTATAATTTCAATAATGAAAATAAGTATTTGTAGCAGTTGCAGGCTCGGTTAATATGCTTCATTTGTATACCAAAGTCTAATTCTAGTAGTAAGATTTAATTTGTTAGTTGTATTTACTGCAATAAGCTGTCTTGCCAATAACTAGCATTTACGTAGTGTATCCATGTAGACTAGTAATAGTCCATACTTCTGCATTATAGATCAAAATTTTTATCAGTATATAGAGAACAGTAGGCCACTACGACTATCCAACACACATTGAACTCACTTCTATTCACTTCTATTTATGAACTTTACACTGTAATGTAGAATTGTCATAACATTCTAGTAGGTTATAATTATACTAGTATTACTAATAGTTGTGTACTGAATAAACATGCTTTTGTTTGCTTATGCGGCTCATTGTAATAGCTATTAGAAGCTTCCAGCAAAAGCATGTTCAGTCCGGCAACCATTGCTACATCAGAAAGACCACAGACAAGAATGATGGAGCATGAAATGTCGGCAACTTTCGCTGTGTTTGAGATCTAAGATGTGTTCCGATAGAAACAGTCCGGCAACCATTGCTACACCAGAAAGACCACAGACAAGAAAAAGTGGAGCATGACATGTCGGCAACTTTTGATGTGTTTGAGATCTAATATGTGTTCCAATAAAAATCGTACTCAAAATTTACTTTTGTGCTGTATTTATGTGTGAAAATTAAAAAAAAAGATTGCTATAATCGTTTTTTTTTTTGTTTTGTACTTTTTTCGGGGGTGCAAAATGTCCTACATTCCTGACGGTACTTATAAGTACCAATACACGTTTGTATAATTAAAAATGTATAAAACGAAATTTCACTTGACATATGCTTTAAGTGTGCCATAAGCAATATGATAACACACTGTTTAAGAACATATTTCAATGTAATGCATGAAATTTTAAACTTATCGCGGTTAGCAGTTTTGTGTAATGGTCTTTCCACTTACCCTAAAAACTGGCGACGCCCATGCATCCACTCTCCCTTCCCTGGAAATCCGGGCTAAGCCTATTGAAATAAAGTATAAAAAGTAGCTCCTTCTAAATATTTCATCACAAAAAGAACCTCCTCTGAAGACGACTAGCCTGCACGCCTGCACAATATCTGTTGTTTATACAGATGATTGTCCTCTTGAAATATATTTTGTCAACCAAAGTACCGTGAGTAACACAATAATGTTTAATTAATTTTTTTCAGCTAGACCTCCCTCTCTACTAAATTATCTGCCCCTAATAGCCGTCACTTGTTCGAACCGGCTTTGCTATTGTAAAAATCCGCGATGAACCACAGCTCACCTGACAGGTGGGATGAGGGTGGTGGCTAAGATTCGTGGTGTCTTCCATGGTCCACATGAAGAGAATTACATTTATTGATAAAACAAAAGGGGATGGCAACTTGGGATATAGACATGAGCTTAAATCCATTTTTAATTACTTAAACTTTATAAAATAGAATAGAAACTCGTAGAAAACAGAATTCCACACCAAGTGAACGCAAAAGAAAATGTGTATAATCGAATATTATTAGTAATTTATAAATTCACTTGCATATTTTTGAGAAATAAAAAAAAAGCAAAAATGACTACTTCCGGTCAAAAGGAAATTACTTAAAATTGACAGAAAACAGAGAATTAGATCTTTTACTTACAAATGGAATTTCATTTAGCTATCTCAAATAGTACTCAAGTTATAGGCTTTTGAAAAATTCAAAGTAGAAAAAGTTCCACTTCCGTTTATCGAAAATCGCGTAGAAGTTGCTACTGATCTTAAAACTTGATATAATACTTATATATGTAATTTCATCAACCTAGCTATAACGGTACTCAAGTTATCGTGTTTACACACAGACACACAGACACACACACATATACACACACACAGACATACGGACAAGATTACAAAAAAAAATGTTTCTTTGACTCAGAGAGGTGTAAAACGACAAGATTTGCAATAATCTCGATTTTTTTTACACGATTACTATACTTTATCTCTACTTCGTATATACGAGAAAGTAAAAATGAAGGAAAATGTATTTCTGTTATAATCCGATTTTCTTATGCAACAATGGTGTAAGGCGGTGCGTACTTGGTCTACTCTCGGTAATAGAGTCTTAAACTCCCACTTTATTAGAACCAATAGACGATGACAGAACATATATTATCGCTGGATGTCGTATCTGTCGAACATAAATACCATGTTTGTCAATCAATGACGAATTGAGTCAAACTAAATCAATTATCTAAGTGTGCATACATGTATAACGGAAGTACATCCAGGCCGAACATTCATTCATCATACATAGAATTTATACCAGTATGATGGAACCGCTAATAGTGGTACAAGAATATTGATCATCAAGTGAATATCAAGATTTACTGTGACATACAAATCTAGTTTAAGAAGCTTGGACAAATGACAGACGGTGTTCTATCATAAATCAACTGGGGAATGAAGGCATGTGTCCACGAGATGCTCTCAGCGGTCGGCCAATAATATTCGGTAGCTGCATATACAGTTTAATAATGAGTAGTGGCAGATTCTAACAATCCGCTGCATACACAATGTTGCGAATGGTGTTTAAGAACGGGTCGACACTTGAATATATTTATCAGTTAAACAACACAAAGTCAGGGAGCGATTATATTTTCTTTTATTTCTCTTTGAACATAGCCTTCATCAATAACCTTTGGTTGTCTGTGAGAGAAAGGAACCCAAACTTTACTATCCCCAAACTGTTATACCCTACCACACTGCACAAAAGTGTAAATACCTTCCAAATACTTTGATTGCTGCAAACGTGTAGAAACTATTTGTTTGTTCTAATGTAAACCGCCACCGAACCACTTGTTTTATCGGGTGTCCAGCATCTACAATACAATTATGTTAGCATTATTACATTCAGAACTTGCGTAGATTTTGAGTAACGCCCTGATAGTATATTTGCCTCATTTGCCCTTCAAACACAGATGGCAGAAAGAAAGAAGGCAGGAATGACACACTACCTGGCGGCTTATATATATATATATATATATATATATATATATATATATATATATATATCAATGTATGTGTGCTTGTGTGTTTGTCTGTCTTTTATGCATTACTACACCTTTTATTCGATCGCCATCAAACTTGTGGGGAGTTGATAAGAACACAACAGAGGAGGTTCCTAAAAGGAATTTATTTTAATTTTGCAATAGCGGCGCCTCAAGGGAGATACGTATTTCTCTATAATCGGTATATTAAAAAAAATAGGATGCAATTCGACTCCGCTCATCCGATCGCCATGAAATTTCGGAAGTTGATTAGAACAAACCAGGAGAGCTTTCTGCAAAAAGATTTGTTTTTTTTTCTTATTTTTTTAATGGCGGAGGGTGCGAAATTTCACTATATAAGGTATATAAAACTAAAAGTCGGATGCGGTTTGTAACAGTCAAATGTAGGATGAATGCATGTTTCGAATGAAGGTGTAAAAAGGCGATATAAATCTAATATATATTGTGGGCAGGCGTATGCGCAAAAGGGGAAGTGAGAGGGAGAATAAAAAAGATGACGAAAAGTCGTAGTTTTAGCAGTGTAGCTGCTGTATATCTGATATCAATAAAAAACTGTAAAATCACCAATAATAAGGTTTGTATTTGCCTTTAGCTTGTGCCATGAACCCAGTCATACAAAAGGGCCGTAACACGGTTCGACACCGTTCATCCGATCGCTATGAAAATTTGGGGAGTTGATTAAGAAGACTATTGAAAATGTTTCTGGAGGAAAATTTTCATTTTCGCACGGGCGCTCCTCGGCAGGTTGTTAATTGGCGCCCCGGTTTTTTCCGTGAGCGTTATTGCTCCTTCGTTTTAAACAATGCAATAGACTATAAATAAAATTGGGCATTATAGTAGTTCAATAAATTTAATAAGGCAAGTTCATCGGTGCACCGGCAGGATGCCATTCGGCTGCGCTCCTGTTTTTTGGGGCGGTATTGCAGGTAAATTTGTGCCCCGATAAATATGATCGAAGCGAAGGCATTGTTTAAATTTAAATAACTCAAGGTCACGTGTCTAAGAATATAAGATTGTTAAAGCATTGATGAAACCCTTCTAATATATTTCGTTAGCTTTATTTGTCTTTTAAGCATTGCTACATCTTTTATCTGATCGCCATGAAACTTTTGGAATACTTTTGGAATACTTCAGGGGAGGTTTTGAGAAAAAAAATCAACTTCGTAGGGGCGGCGCCCCGGCCTGGTTTAATTTGGCGCCCCGAGTTATCATGTGAGCGCTATGGCGCCAAAGTTCGTTTTAAACTATGCGATAGACTATGAATAAGGTTGAGCATTTAGTCGCTCACTAAATTGAATTTATTATATTCCAGCACTATTATCTATTTTAAAGTTGATACGCTTGGAAGTTCTTCTATTTTGAATATAAAATAAATATTTCTAGATTTACCATAAAGACCAAGTAAAAATTAATTACTTTGAAACAAAAAACAGGTATAAAAACAAAACTAATAATGGAGTTTCTTTATTAAACTATTTTAGTCTTTAAATATTCGATATCAATCTTTGGATTTTAGCCTCACATATCTCATCAAGTTCAAGAATACGAGGAATGTGTCTCGAGCAACGGATAAACTAAACTTGATTGTAGTTCTAGCTCTATTGAGATTCTAGATCTAGAATTTAAGCCAATAATGAGATTTTTACACAACTTTAGTGCGATAGCTCATCGATAGTGAAAACAGCGTCAGTCTTTAGGATGCTGTAAAAATATTTATATACACATATACAAAAAATTATTCAGAAATTAATTAAAATCAGTGATAATAATTTTAATAGATTGGTCTATTCGGGGGATGTAAGCCCCATAACTTCCCACACCAACCCTGTTAGTCCGCCTACGTCACTGCCAAAGCTTACACTAGCACTAAATACTGGAACTGGCATTGCATCTTAAAAAATATTTTCAATACTTTTATCGAAATTCACTTATTTCATTTTACGTTCTAATTTTTAACAAATTCAAACAATACAAATCACTTTTCGTTAATATAATTAACATACCTAGTGCTAGCAATAATAATTCATTTATAATAAAAGTAATTTTTTTTCCTACAGGCTTTACATTAAAGATGCTTTTTACTGTAACGGCTGTGCTATTTAGTCTGGTGGCTTACGAAGCTGTTGTTGGGTGTAAAACTTCACAGAAGTCTACACAGAAGTCTACACAGAAGTCTACACGTTTTATGTGGCAATCAGAGTGTGAAATACACAATGAGTTAATCTCGGGTTTCAGTAGAACAAGTTGGAAAAATGATCCCCTTCAAATCTTAGAAAACGCTGAATGCAGCACTCAAAACTGGCCTTGGAATAACTCTAAACCTCAAACTATGTACGCTGATTGGTCAATTTTAAAAAGCGACCGCTCCTGGGCGAATTGTCCAGCGGGTTTTTTCCTATCTAATATGAAAGGCCAAAAAAATAGCAATGGCCATTTAGATAATATTGAACTAGGAAGATGCTCCAAGCCTGCAGACCACCCGCCAAAGTACGGAGAATGTTATGTCCAGGATATCTCTGATTGCTCTAGTAACACTGACTTATGTAGATGTAAAAACGAATCCTACGTCGCTGGTGTATATCGCGGTACTTACAATAAACTCTACTTTCTAGAGAAACTGAGGTGCTGCAAGACTGCAGAGGGACCGGAAGAACTAGACGAGCTGTACAAGGTGAAGACCCGCATCATGGACACAACGATGTGGGACATGGCTTCACTGGCTCGTTTTTTGGGTTATGGCTATCCTGGGGGTTGTAGAGGCTTTGAAAAGGTTGGAGAAAATTTTAGAAGAAGTGGCGACACTTGGAAAGCTGATACAAGTGGACGCTGTACGGGCTACCTGAGTGATAAACGTCTGAGCATGGCCTATGGTGACTGGAGTTTTGGAATAAAGGACATCAAGTATGGAACACCTGTGATACAAGACTTAATTCCCGAAACGATAGACTTTGGTACCATATCTAACGATGACCCGACTGATGTCACAAAAACTATCATACAATCTGAGACCAGTGTCCGTAGCGTCACCCACACCACAACAAGCTCTTGGAAAAACAGCGACGAGCTGAATGTCCAGGTGAGTTTCATGCCATATGGTGTAGGAGTGTCTGCCGGCTATAAATTCAACTATGAGACCAGCACCACAACATCAGATGAAACCAAGAAAGAGCAGTCAAAAACCTTTGTAGTCAACACATCTAAAACTCTCAAACCGAATTCCGCTTCTAAATGGAGCCTCATCCTGTCTAAAACAAGAACCTCTGTGACCTACACAGCCACTGTTATAGCAAAGTTTTCCTGTGAACTTCAAGGAATTCTAAGTTGGTTTGAAGGATCAAACAGTAAATATTCCAACTACCATTACCAGCATCGTGGTAACGAAGATTTTCCCAGGTTTCACTACAGATTTGGTGACTCCAGCATTCCCTTCTACACAGCCCTGAAACGACAAAGCGAAACCAACTCACTGCCTTGGATGTGGAACGACATGAAGAATGCCCACCCGAACGCACAATATTTTATCAACGATCTGTGTAATGAAAACAGGTACACCTTCAAAATAACTGGCAGGTTTGATGACGTCATTGGCAAAAACGCCAGCATCACCTGGGACTCTGTGCCGTTACGCAAGCGATTAGCCGACGTTTTCGAGGACGTGCCTGATGTCATATACCAGAACTACACTCGCGTCGCCAAGGCTCTGCCTAACGATGTTCCTCTGGTGAAGCTTGAGCCTCCTAAAGTCGACATCGAGTTCTTGAACCAAGCAAAGATTGAGAACCTCGAGTTATCTGGTTCTAAGTTATATAACTAGAGAAAATAGTTTTATTAAACGTCATACATTTCATACCTTATTTGTACTCTTTAAACTATTTAATTGTATGCATGATTAAAAAATTATATCTTATTCCTATAAACAGTAATTTTAAATTGCTATATTATACTTTTTTGGAAATAAAATAAAAATCACCAATATATGCTGCCTTATCTCAACTCAAATTTGTTAATATCTTAGAAAGAAGTAAAATGTATCTTTAGGGGAGGGAGATAAAGTTGGAATGATATGTTATTTTTAGGCGAGGGGCTTATGACTTATTAAAATGATAAATGCCATGGATGGTACACTCAAGCTATAATTAGGTCGATTGAAGAAACCTGAAAATTTAATCCAAAAGTAGCCGTCCCGGCCAGGCTGTGCACTGGCCCCTGTAAAAAGCCTCGCTGTTAAGGACCATGACCATTTAGTAATCAGCATATACCTAGCATTGTCAAGGTTTAATAGATATTATTTTTTAATTAACCCTAACGAAAAATCAACCAAAAACAAAACACAAAAAAGGCAAACATAACACAAACGCATACTTGTATGTGAACGCAAACATCAATGCAAACATAAACGCAAACGATAACAAAATTGAAAACATAAACGCACACGTAAAATCAAACGACACACACGCATATATAAAAGTTGACATTAACATAAGCTTAACCGGAAACACAAAAACAAACATTCAATGGAATCAATAACGCACACATAAAAGATATTAACTCAAACGCAGATATAAATACACTAAATCATTATTTCTGACGTTGTTTTTATAGTCATTTAGCTCTATATAGTGAATTAATGTGTATATTTCTTTAGAAAACAATAACATGTATATGAAGGCTATTAAATATAATTTGCTGTTTTAAATACATGTTTGCTGGGGATTCCAGTGCAGAAACGATGCAACTAATATCTCTAATAATTGTATTCAGTGGCGTATATCAGACTTGTCAGCAGATGTTAAAGAACAGATTTTGAATAAAATTAGACCTTAATTATTGGATGATTTTTCTAGTTTATGAACCAAGATACTTAAATTCGTGTTCGCAATTGCTCGTATTCGTAAATTATATTTATTCAGATAATATAAAAAAAGAGTTTCTATTTTGTACGAAACTCTTGAAAATCCTACAAAATAAACCGGGAGTGATCTCTTAAAGCAAGTTAGTGTGATTAAATAGCAGAAATGATAACCATTTACAAAAAAAGTTATCATTACAGAATACATTTGTATGACTGTTATTTATGTTACTGTAAAATGTGGCATCCGTGAAAACAGAATTCCCATTCATCAGGAAACCTTAAGCGAATAATGCACACGTATCATTTGTGAATGCTTTGGAGCATAATTATCCTTGAGATAAATATCACCATTGTAGTCTGAACAATTAAGCGGCTTGGTCTGATTGTAGATATCAGAGGTGACTGATGTAGCGGTTTAAAAACCAACATCTTCAGTTGATGTATATTTTTACATATACAATTTATGTTCAAATAATTAAATTAAGATATTGGAGATGTTTTATTCTTTTAAAATATCATATTTTGGACATCACTGGGAAAGTACTTAGTATGACAGGTGATCGTTACGGTAAAATCGACAGCGTGCAGGCGATGAAGTCACCTAGATTAATCAACATTAAACTGCAGGGTGTTGTGTGCTGTAATTTTCAGGTACGACACAATACGTTTCGCGTACACAAACGATGTTCTCTCAAGCCATGAGTTTCTTTTTTCTAACCCGACGGTCTATGGGGCTATAGAAGAAATGAAGTAGAGTTCACCTGTTTCTGTGACCTTGGTATATAAAGGGATAGTGTGGTCAGGGGACTTTGCCCAGCCACTTTTACTTTCCATCAGACAGACTCAGGGACTAGTTGAACCTGGATTCGAACTTGAGACTTTAGGGTTAGAGTTCTGGCGCTCTACCAGCTACCAATAGACCAAACTTTCCCATATTGCCAACAAAAGTAATAACCATATCTGTCATGTTTGTTGCAAGTTCGCTTTTGAGATTTAATATTGGAAAATAAAGAAATCAATGAGTATAAATGATGTAGATATCAATTACAACATGTATAATTAGTATAAGTTTTTGTACTTCGACAACTTATTTTTAATACAAAAACATTCCTTAAAAAATCAAGTATACTTCATCTTTTAATAGCAACGGCACATTTTAAGTCACAAAACATAGCACATTTTGTATTAATGAGAGGTGGTGGCTGTAAAAAATATTTCCATTGATAAAAATATGCAAAATAAAAATAAGTACCCACAATGAAACATTTTTTTCGTTAACTAATAATAGAATAAAAAAGTAAGTTCCGGTAGTCTATTAATATTATATTAATATTGTCACTACGTTTAGGACAAAGTGTTACGCATTTGAACCAATAATAGCTAACTGCGCTTCTTAAAAAAACGGCTTGTAAGTAAAAAAAAAACGTCTTAAAGGTGACTTCTTCTAATTTTGTTTAAGGATTTAATAAAAACATTCACATTTGGTTTCAAAAATACTAGGTAGGCAGTAAGAGAACGAGCAGTTGGTGACCCCCTTACAAGGTCTATTATTTTTTTTTTTACAAATGTTTGCGTTAGTGTTTGTGTGTGTGTGCGTTTTCACGCTCGTGCGTAGAAGTTGGTAAAAGTGTACGTGTGTGTGTGTGTGTGTGTGTTTGCATGTGTCATGGTGTGCATATGCGTGTGTTTGTGTTCATGCATAAAAACAACCATATAAATATTCTTTTTTCGAGTACATTTGGTAATTTGTATTATATCGTCCAAAACCTTATGAAGGTATATTCAGAAAAGCGTTCATATCTATAGGCCCAACGACTGGTAACGTCGCGTTGTATTTCTGTAACATGAGCAGTGCTTCACTTAACGCCTCTTGTCCAGTACTGACCAACTTCGTGTTCTCTAGACCTGACGTCCATGTTTTATCAAACGACGACAATTTCAAGTAGGGAGGGTTGTCTATAAGGACATGAGGAATGTCCATTAAGATGGACAAAATATGTCCATGGAGACGATCAGTAACGACAATTCTACCCCGTTGTAGAAAGCTGAATCCGTTTTCCGCTACGATGAAAGATGTTTCCAAGTCTCTTGTTCCAACGTTTGATTTCCACTCCCACCAATCGGAAACCACCACGGAAATGTTTTCCGGAAACTCTGGAAGAATATATTTGGAAGATTCTTTGTCCGATCTACGGAGCCAAACAATGTCGTAGTACGGGGGCATAGAACGGGGCACATGCCCCAACCCAAATGCCATGTCAGGTGCTAAAATTATTTTAACGCCTTTAAAATTGTTTTGGGCGATCTGTAACGATTGCTTGTCCCGAATAAACATATACAAATTAGAACGATTGGAGTAAATTTTTTGACAGTTCTCTAGGCTTTTGTTCGAGCCAGGAAATAACCAAATGCTTTGAGAGAACAGGATGGTCTTGTGGTTAGGGAACTCATTCAAAATGGATTCCCGGACAGTGTCAACAAATGGGTACCCTACTAGGTTTCCCCCACCTTGCATTAGAATAACCAAATCCGATATATTATATCTTCTGCTGATATTTAGCGCCAAATTCTTTTCGCCTTGATTTTTGCATTTATACGTCTCACAGTAGTAAACGATTTTCTTGCCCATCTTCCTTAGCAGCATTACCTCCCCTGCAGTGATAGCCGGGTCCCCTTTGTTCTCGTAGGTCGCTATCTCCATCAACATCACGTGATTAGCTGGCCCGATGATGTCAGTCATTAAGTTAATTAAAACACGCTGCGCCTCGTTGACGACTTCTACTGTTTTTCCCAGAGTCACAGCCCTTGTGTTGGTCTCCAGAGGGTGGTTCACAAGCCGCAAGGATAAAAATGTTTTAGTTTGTCTGCTGGAGTTATCCATCTCTAGGCTCAATCTTTGAAATTCGGTAGATGGAATTATCGTACACAACGTTCCCATTATGCAAAATCCTATTAGGAGCCAAGTAACCCGTCTTAAACTGCCATAAAGGACATTCTCTATGAGAAGACAACCAAAGTCAAATTATAAACAATATGTTCAACATAAACATAAAACAAATTCTGGAAACATTTATAATAACAAGATTTTTAATGCACTGAAGTTAAGGGTGTACAAAATGGCTTTCTTTAAATAAAAGCTTTACTTTTCTTACACATCTTAGCGAACAAAGTCGATTTTACGCGGACGCGATTGGTGTAGATTTATCAACGAAAGCGAGATATCCTTTAGACTGAAACTTATGATCCGTACTTTAAATATATAAAATTATATATGTGCAAAATAAGATGATTATTATGCACTGCGCATGAGTATAAATATCTAAATTCTACATATTTTGTTTTCTAATTCCGGGTATCTAAGTATAAAACGGTGAAAACATAAATATTATTATTTTCGAAAAACCGGCCATTGTTGATGAATAGAAAGATGTTCGTAATATGTTTAAAAAAAATTACTGTCATGAAAGCGTAATACATTGGTTGTTTTTTTAATGAAAATAATAATTCATTCAAACAGTACTTACTCAAAACAAATCCTTTTGTATTGGAGGTTGTAGAAGAAGGTTCATGCTTCCTTACTTTCCCAAACACGTAGATGGCCAAACCAAATGAAGCCAGAAGTAAACCAAAGAAGTTGAACCAAGTGGCCTTACGCTGGCCCCAGCTGTACAGTAGCAGTACAACAATCAGGCGTTTGAAAATGTTGGCAATAGAGTGACTAACTACATTCATTACCTGAAGATTCACAGAGAATAAAATACAAATTAAATCTTGTGTTTACTTACATTTTCTTTGCAATTATAAATAGGGTATAAAAAATTAATTAGATGGTGGCTGGCTTTCCCAGAACTAAATAATGTTGAGCGTGAGGTAAAGGTACAACAACCGTAATAATATGTAATAAATAAAATAAATAATTTAATTTTGTAATATACTTAACGACCCAGTTTCCACTTCGGAAATGGTTTGCCGGCTGCACTACACAACACAAATAAAAATCCCATTATGTCCATCGCACTCTTTAAACTCTTTTAAACGTTGGCACATTAATTTATGAAATCCATGAGGGATAAGAGGGGGGTTGGGGGTGGGGTAGTAGGGAGGTCGAGCTTTTTGGGAATGC